CCAGGCTCCTTCTGCTGATGCAGAGCTATTCCTGGGAAAGGGATGAGGCTTGCAACAAGGGCTGGTCCCTCACCCTTCTGCATCCTCCATGCAGCAAAGTGGGAACCTTCTTGTCTCTGGCATCCCACAGCCATTTGTATGAGCTGCAGGAGCACCACCCACTCCAGTCACAAGAAGGGTGGGCAGTGAGGATGCTACAGGAGCTTAAAATCACAGACAACTCACACTGAGATCAGGAAGACACTACCACACAGTCAGCCTCCAGCCCTGCAGACCTGGGGCTGCTCTTCACTACGCAGACATCCTCCACCTTAACCCATCTCTGTGCGGCGATTTTGGCCGTAAGACCTTTTGCCTCATAAAACCCCCTGACTGGGACCCCGAGCAGCAGGATGATGTGGCACACAGGGTCAGAATGGCTTCTCCTGGCACCAGGCTCACCGACATTAAGTGCCCCCAGCCCGGAGCCAGGCCAGAGCTGCCCTTACCTGAGGAGCTTGTAGTAGAGGAAGCGGAACGCCTCCTGCAGCAACACGGAGAACATCACCCCGAAGATCAGGAGCCCTTTCTGCAGCGGCTCATCACGTGGGTCGCTAGCCTTCACAGCAATGAACCAGATGAGGGAGGAGAGCAGCAGTGAGACTAGCCAGAAAAATGCCCTAGGGAGGTGGGAAACAGCAGCTGAGCTGTGTGGGCACCAGCACAGAGCCATGGTAGGGCTCAGTCCCTGCTGCAGGAGGGCTAGCACCAGTCCTGCAGTGCTGCTGGCTCCCATGCTCCTACAGACCCCGTCCCTGCCGTGCCACAGCTATAGTGGCACCAGTGCAGTGGTTGAGCAGACACTGGCACCAGTATGAGTAGTGGTACTGGTGGTGCTTTCATGCTCACAAGGTGCCCACAAGCACCCAGAATGGTGCTCAGGCACCTGAACCAGCACTAGTACTGTGCCAGCCCCCTGCATGCACTGCTATCAGTGCCACAGTGGTGTCCAGGCACCAGATTGGTGCTCCACCACCCCCACACTGGTAACGCTACAGTACTGGTGCCGTGACATCTCTGGCGCCTGAGCTCCCCGCAATGGTACCAGTCCCACACTGGAGTCCCAGTACCAGAGCCGGTACCACACCAGCGCCTCACGTCCCCCCCGGTACAGCTCCTATAGAGATGCCCCGATGTCACCGTACTGGTACCACCCCCACACCAGTGCCCTATGTCCCCCACCCCGGTACCACTCCCGTCCCGGTGCCACGATGCTCCCGTACTGGTACCAGTGCCACAGCACCGTACCGTGCCCCGACATTCCCCAGCCCCGCACTGACCCCGCGATGAGGATGATGATGCGGAGGGGGTCGCGGGCGATGGTGAAGAGAAAGAGGCTGAACGCGGGCCCGAAGGCGATGAAGGTACACCCGAAAAAAACGGCGAGCGTCATGGCGGCGGGGCGCGTGGTACGGGGGTGGGGCTGCGGCGGGACGGGACGGGGCCCGACGGGGCCCGGCGGCGGCGGAGGCTGCTCCCGGCCCGCGCCCTTCCGGGGCCGCCTGACGTCACACGCCGCGGCGCACCGCCGCCCGGGCCGGAAGAGGCGGGCGGGTGGGGAGGGGGGAAAATGGGCGTGACCACCTGAGGGGGGCGTGGTTTGCGGGTGGGCGTGACTGGGTGCGGTCTGACTGCGGGGGCGGGGCGGAGCTTCGGCGCGGGAGGGGTCAGCGCTGTGGGCGGGGCCTGATGGAGGCGGGGCCTCCCGGGAAGGGGGGCTGCCGTCATGGCGATGTGCGGTTGTGCTTTGGCGTGGCCGCCAGCGTGGGCGAGTTGAGTGCAGTGCTGCGGCTGGGGCAGAGCAAAACCGCACAACTGCACGGGCTGGGCGGAGAGTGGGCAGAGCAGCCGAGTGGTTTGGGGCTCAACACGAACTGACGTGAGTTCTTGTGGCCCAGAAAGCCAGCAGCATCTTGGGCTGTCAGCAGGGGGGGCAGCAGGGAGATGGAGGTGCCTGTTCCCTCTGCTCTGCCGTGCTCCGCTCTGCTCTCCTTTCATGAGGCCCCATCTGCAGTATTGCGTCCAGGGCGGGGGCCCCCGGCGCAGGAGGGATGCAGAGCTGTGGGAGCAGGTCCAGAGGAGGGCACAGGGACAGTCACAGAATCGTGTGAGTTGGAAGGGATCTTCAAAGGTCATCCGGTCCAACTCCCCTGCAGTGACCAGGGACACCCGCAACACCCATCAAGTGCTCAGAGCCCCCACTCTGACCTTGGGTGGCTCCAGAGATGGGGCATCCACCACCTCTCTGGACTACCTGTGCTAGTGCCTCACCACCCTGAATATGAAAATCTTCCTTATATCCAATACAGATCTCCCTTCTTTCAGTTTGAAGCCATTTCTCCTGTCCTATCACTGCAGAGTCTGTCCTCTCTTAGATACAGACAGGCCGCCCTCAGGTCTCGCTCAGCCTCCTCTTGCCCAGGCTGCACAGCCCCAGCTCTCAGCCCGTCCTCACAGGGAGCTGCTCCATCCTGACCATTCGTGCGGCCCTCCTCTGGACGCTCTCCAGCAGGCCCCCGTCTCTGCTGTGCTGAGCACTCCAGCTGTGGACGCAGCGCTCCAGGTGCGGTGTCACAGCGCAGAGCAGAGGGGCAGGATCCCCTCCCTCGCCCCGCTGGCCGCGCTGCTTTGGGTCTTGCAGTGAGTTTCTTATCCATCAAACAGTCCACCCATCAAATCCACATCTTTCCAATTTGGAAAGAGGGTTGTTGTGGAGAACTGTAATGGAGGTGGAATACCTATCCTATGAAGAAAGGCTGAGAGAGCTGGGAGCTATGAAGAAAGGCTGGGGATGTTCAGCCTGGAGAAGAGAAGGCCCCAGGGAGTCCTTATTGCAGCCTTCCAATGTTCATAAATAGGAGAGTGACCAAACTTTTTCCATGGGCAGACAGTGATAAGAAAGAAGGAATGGCTTTAAACTAAAAGAGGAGGGATCCAGATTGGATGCTGGGGACATTTTTCATTGAGAGGGAGGTGAGGTGCTGTCACTGCTGCCCAGAGAGCTGTGGTGCCCCATGCCTGGACGTGCTCAAGACCAGGTTGGAATGGGGCCCTGGGCAGCCTGAGCTGGTGGAGGCAACCAGCCCGTGGCAGGGTGGTGTGGCACGGATGTGGCTCTCAGCTGACTCTTGGCCAGCACCAGCCTCCTGGTGCTTCTCCTTCTTGAAGAAAAAAGGGGAGCAGAGGGTGAGCGAAAAGCAGAACTGGGGATCAGCTGGTGGTCATAGGCAGAGCATTACTCTGGGAGCAGCTTCCAGGGCCTTGCAGAAATTGAGAGTTTAGAGGTGAAGAAGAAGGATCTGGCATAGGGATGTAAATGGTTAAATGGACCGACCCAATCCAGGAGGCTGGAATGGGGAAAATCACTGGGTGTGAAAGGGCTCTTTGTCCCAGCAGGAAGGGACGCCCAGAGACTGAGTGGTGGAGACGCACCCTGATAGGAAGTCTGGGCAGGCTTGTTTGCAGGATAGGGTGCTGCTCACAGGGAAAGGCTGTGGTTTTGACTTGCTCTTTTACAGCAAGACAAATCCATTTCAGGAAGGTGCTTTTACCTAACACCACTCAACACAGTGATGTACTGTAGGGAAGCAAGGCAGACCCAAAGAAAAACTCCAATCCTTGCACAGGACAGGCTCTGCTAGGAGAGCAATGTCTCCCTTCCAGCACATCCTGGGATGCCACAACCCAATCAGGAACAAGCACCAAGGCAGGGAATGGAGAGTCCCTGTGTGAAAGATGCCTTTTGCGCATTGCCAGATGCAATTCAGAGTTGCAAATATGATTTGGAGACCATGAGGAGGGCAGGAAGCCAGCTGTACCTGGATAGGAAAGAACTTGTGTCTCCGCCTTTCTTCTGTGAGCCAGGAGGCACAGCAAATAAAGGAAAGTGGATGGGAAAGCTCTCCCTGTTGCTTGCTAGGTTGATGGCTTAGCCCAGCAAGGGGTCAGCATGAATTATGCTTCCTGGCCACATAAGGCTATGCTGTCAAAGGGATATCCGCCAAACAGCGTGAGACAGCTGGGCTCCATGCAAGCCACAGGGGGCCCAAAGCAGAGGGCGGGACTGGATGATGGCTTTGGGCATCCCCAGGGAGTCCACCCCCATTTGGTGACAGCGATGAGATACATCCTGCTGCTCTTCTCTTTGTGTTGGAGAAATTACAACAGAGTGGGAGGAAACTTCCTGAACGCTCTAGGAATTGGTTGCCTGCTGTATTAATACTTGCTAGTTTATATAGCTGTCCCTTAGGCAGGCGTACAGACATACAGGCATACAGATACTGAGCTGGGTGAGACACTGTAAGGTAGTAGTGTGTGAATGTGTGTAGTCATGCACTTGTACACGTGCCCGTGTGGCACTGTTTGCATGGGTCATGAAGCAGAGTCAATAGGAGAGAGCCAAGGATCCTGTGGCTTCCCCAAGTGCCAGGCAGATAATGTACTGGGGTGGAAGGGGACAGGCTGGTGACATATCTCTGTCACTGTGTGCTTGAGGAGGATGCTAAGTTTGGATTGCCCTTGAGACTGAGGTTTCCTGTGCATCCTAAGGAACTCCTATCACTCCCATCCAAACTGCTCCTGCCACATCACAAGGTCCCTGCAGAGGTCTCAATGCCCATTCCCACCCACAAGGACCATTCACACCCATCCTTCTTGTTAAACTGCTTTAATATTTGGACATGAAGACAGGACAAAGCCATTCAGGCTGTGCACAGACAAGACGCCCCCGAGCCATGGTGCAAGGCTGCAGGGTTTCCCTTCTCAATGGATGTGTGGATTTGGCCAAAATGCAGTTCAGCTGGTGACGTCCTGAGCGTGCCAGTGGGGTGCACGTGTGGGATAGGGAAGGGGGATGAGGGCTCCCCAGGCAGCTCAGAGGTTGTTTAGCTCCAGCAAGGTCTGGTCCAGGACCTGGTGTATCCCCACATTCTCCTCTTTGGCACTGGCCAGACTCTCTGTGAACACAAGGGACACCCAGCCACACAGCAAGATGCACACGCAGACACAGCACAAGCATATCCAGGCACAGCCAGACCCACGCACACCACACCAAGCACAAACACACGCACACAGAAGACATCTCAGTGTGGTGCCAGCAGGGATGTGCCCAGACCCTCTGGGACCCCCAGGGACAGGTGGTCCCTGCTCTTTATCTTCTCCATCCTCCCACAGTGCCCAGTTGCCCATGGACAGCCCTTATGTGGCATGGGCACTGCTGACAGGTACTACTCCAGCCAGCCATCATCACATCCCCATCTCCCCATCCTGCCATCACCACCAGCCACAATGGGCACGTGCACAAACCCTTGGCTGCAAAAGAGGAGAGCCAGCGCCTGCTGCACGAGCCACGTGCTCCGTGAAGAAGAGGAGTGAGACAGCAGCCCAGAAAGTCAGGCGGAGAAGACAGCAGAGAAGGAGCAGAACTAATGAGGCTGCAGGGATGAGCTCACTGCTGGGGCAGCCTCCTTCAACACTCGCTTGCAGATGGTATCCTCCTTCCGTGAGAGGTGGGAACGGGGCAAGGGTTCTGCCCACTCTGCTGCAAGGGCATCCTGCTGTGAGGGCATCCCCCTGCTCAGTTTCGAGTGACCAGAGGGATAGGAAAGAGTTGGCTGCCTGGGGAAGGGGAGGAAGGCAGATACACAAGGCACTGTGTCCCTCCCCAGTGGGGCCAGGCTGATGCCAGGGGACAGCCACCATCTGATGGACATTCTGGAACACGGCAAAAGCTTTCATCCCTCCCCCAGGATAATCCCATCAGCTCCACAGGGCTTTCCCATACCACTGAGCAGGGCAGTCACCCAAGGGGGGAGCGGACAGGCCTCACAGCCTCAAGCCAGCCTGGTCAAAATGGGGTGGGACACAGCTGGGGCTGGGGGCATCCCAGGGGCTGGGGCAGGAGCTGTCGCAGCTCAGTTGTTAAGTTCGGTAAGGATGACCCGCAGCTCGTTAGTGAGAACCCGGTTTTTCTCGGCCTCCTGCCGGGAGCGCTCTAGAGAAAACAGAGACATCAGCGCAGCAGTGGGAAGAGAAAGAGAAAGGAGAGTTAGCAAAGGGACAGCACTGCCCACGAGAGCCTTCACTGGGCACCCCATGGCTGTTTGGGGGGCAGTAGGGGAAGCAGAAGGAGGAGGCAGCCAGTCATAGGGCTGCTGGTCCATCAATTCCGTGGCTGTGGGGTAGGGTGGAATGCTCAGGAAGGACTGGGACCAGAAATCACCACGGACAGCCCCTGCGGCCAGGGAGGGTGGTGGAGGACAGATGCCAGTCAGTGCTGAGAGGATGCTGTGATGTCTGGGAGCACAGATGAGGAATGGACAGACCAGGTCTAGCCCTATGAATTTAGGCTGAAAGAGTCACGGAGGTGGGGTCTGGAAGGTGGCACAAAATGAGGAAAGCTGTGTCCGAGAGCCAGGGGTGGTAGGGACACAGCTGTGCTGGCGTCCCTGAGACCACCCCCGGCTGCCGGCACCTGCATGAGATGGCAGGAAATGAAGGATGAGCGTGGAGAACCAGAGCAGCATGAAGAAAACAAAGGAGAAACCAAGGAGAGAAAACGCTTTATTGAGACCAACTCAGTAACCCAGAGGGACAGAACAGAAAAGAAAAAGTCATGAAAGGCAAAATGCAAACTGAAAAGCAATGTGCAAAGGACAGAGGCAAGGCAGGGAGGGGAGCGCGGGTGGTGGGGGTGTCTGCCTGGGACCAGGACCACCCCCCTCCATCCCATATCCCCCCTGGCATGCAGCACCAGGATGGCTGCGCTGGAGGGGCAAGTCCCTAGTGCTTGTGCTGCTGGGGGGAAATGCGGGACACAAGGCCCCTGGGCATAGCTCCATCCTCCCACATCCCCGTGGGGTGTGGGGTCCCGGGGATGCACCCCTTCCCCTTTAACACCCCATAGCGCCTACACCTCATCTTGTGGGAACACAGAATTAATAGAATCACAGCATGGCTGGGGTTGGAAGAGAACTTAAAGAAGAGGGTTGGAAGAGACCCTGCCATGGGCAGGGGTGGCACCTGCTATGAATACCCCAGGCCGACTCCTGTTGACCAGTGGCCATGGGCCAGGAAGGACAGAGAGGGGACAGAGTAGGGACAGAGTGGGCAGTAGGAGTGGAGAGGGTGCCGGGCAGGCAAAATGGTAGAGCTGGGGGGGGAGGAAGGCAGGCAGGGGTGCAGTGCTGGTGCCCAGTGTGGGGTTCAGAGGGAGGTGATGTCATTAAGCGCATTGTCCAGCTCCTCGCTGATGGCTTTGTACTTCATCTTCTGTGCATATACTTCGTCTGCAGGTGGGGGGAGTGGGGAGCAGGTGGTGGAGCAGGGAGGTAGTGAGTGGCAGAGAGAGAGAGAGTGGCGGTGAGCAGGAGGCAAGGGTGGTGGGAGCGTGCAGGTACGGCACCGGGCACAAGACAGTGTGGATGAGGCCATATTTCCCATGTGGGACTCCAGCACCTCCACAGCATCCCAGCTTCCCCCCTCCCATCACCCATGCCCACCCCCAGCACAAGGAGACCCCATCCCTGCCTGCCCATGAAAGAGGGACACACGGCAGCGAGGACCCTTTTACCTTCTAAGTCATCAATGGTTTTCTCCAGCTTTGCCACAGACCGCTCAGCAAATTCTGCCCTGGTCTCAGCCTGCAGGAACACAGCAAGAACAGTGAGCGTGATGGGAATGCCCTTAAGTCCACACCCCAAACATGCTCTGTTCCTCAAAACTGTCCCATTTGCTGCACCTGGGCTGGTGACCATCTCAATTTGCCTCCAAGGCAGAGGGGTGAGATGTTATTTTGCTGCTGCCAGTGCATGTCCCGGGAGCAGAGCATCGTGCATCCAAGAGCCTTACCTCCTTCAGTTTCTCCCCTAGAAGCTTGATTTCCTCCTCATACTTGTCCTCCTTGGTGGAATACTGCAGGGACAGAGAGGATCTTAGCTCCAGAGGACACCTCCAGTTCTTCACCCCAATCAGGGACCCTCCTCCCCTCAACCCTGCACACTCTGCCCAGCCCCAGCAGCCCCACTAGGTCATACCTTGTCAGCCTGGGCCTCCAGAGACTTCAAGTTGTTGGTGACAATTTTCAGCTCCTCCTCTAGGTCACCACATTTACTACATCCCAAGCAGGGGCCACCAGGCAGGGGAGGGGGTGGTGAAGGGGAGAAGGGGGGAGCGGAAGGAGCATGGGGAAGGAGGAAAGGAGAGAGAACAAGTTGAGAGAGGAGAAAACTCAGAGTGGAGGAGCAGCAGAGCCACTGGGCACATATCCCTTCCTCGCATGTCACTGCTGTACTCCTGCATCCATCTGAGGAGGAGGAGAGTGGACATGGAAGAGCATGTGCTGCCCACAGAGGGACAGGCGAGGTGAGGGCTGTGGCAGCAGTGCAGAGAGGAGAGAGGTGGCTGGCATGGCTCAAGAGACAGCGATAGAGAGAGGGGGGCTGCTGCATCTTGCCCCACACCCCTGCCCCAGTACCTCTTCCTCTGAGGCAATGAGGGATTTGAGGCTCTGGTCCATGGTCCGCAGCTCCTCCTCCAGCTGTCTCACTCGACTGGGGTGGAAAAGGGGCACCCACAGATTGGGGCCAGCAGAGAGCAGGTCAAGGATGTGCCGGGGGCCAGCATTGCTCCTCCCTCCTCCCACCTCATGGGTGACTGGGATGGAGATCCCTGTCCCCATGTCGACACACGGACATGTCCGCAGCTCCCATGGGCAAGAGAATGGGACAGGGGTGGTATGAGAGCCTCATGTGCCTGAAGCCCTGCTCACCTCTCCGCCACCTCTGCCCGCTCCTCCGAGCGCTCCAGCTCTCCCTCAAGGACCACCAGCTTGCGGGCCACCTGTTGGGAACATCCAGAGGAACATGTCAGGTTGGATATTAGGAAAAATGTCTTCTCAGAGTGGTGATTCACTGGCACAGGCTGACCAAGGAGATGGTGGAGTCACCGTCCCTGCAGGTATTCAAGAACCATGGGAAGTGGTTAGTGGGCTTGGTGGGAATGGTTTGGGGTTGGATTGGATGATCTTAGAGGTCTTCTCCAAACTTCATGATTCTAGGAGGCTATGTCAAATGCAGACTAGGAAGCAGGGCTGCAGGGCACTGCCTTTGATGAAACCAGGGATCAGGGGACACAGGTGGTGGCACATACCTCCTCATATTTGCGGTCGGCCTCTTCCGCTATGTGCTTGGCCTCCTTCAGCTGCATTTCCTGGAGTTCCATTTTCTCCTCATCCTTCATGGCCCTGTTTTCAATGACCTTCATGCCTCTGAGGAAAGTCAGAACAAGTAGGTTAGGAAGAATTTATTCATGGAGAGGGTGGCCAAGGATTGAGCTGCCCAGGGAGGTTGGTGGAGTCCCCATCCCTGGAAGTGTTTAAGAGATGTGAGGACTTGGCACTAACAGATATGGATTAACGACGGATCTCAGTAGGTTGGGTTGGTGATTGGGATAGATGATCCTGAAGATCTTTTCCAGTCCACACAATTCTGTGATTCTATGAGGTTATGGCTGTAGGTGGAGGTGGTACCTGCATCTCCTTCCTGCCCGCTGTACTCTGATGTGTCCATCCTCACGCTCCAGACACACAGTGCATTGCCAAGGAACACAGGCACCCTGTGCAGTAGGGTCACATCAGCAGTACCCTGGGGATGCACAGCTGAACCAGCAGAGATGCCCAATGGCAACCCAGGAGATGTGCCTCTCAGCCAGGCAGGTCAAACTGATCTTTGCCAGTGGAGGCAAACGGCCAGCTGCAAATTGTTCATTGCCACCTGCCGAGAAGGCAGTGACATGTCTGCCCTCGCTTGCATGGCTCCTGCACAGGAAATGTGTGTGCTGAAAGCAGGTACTTCACCAGAGGGTGAGCAATGCCCCGTGTGTGTTCTGCAGCCCTCTTCAGGATGCTACTGCTTCATTCCCAGGGGCCAACCTCAGCTTCTGGGCTACTGCTCAACCCTCAGAATCACAGAATCACAGAATGGCCAGGGTTGGAAGGGACCCTAAGGATCATGAATCTCCAACCCCCTGCCAAATGCAGGGCCACCAACCTTCCCATGGGGCACAAAATCAGTTCTGAGAGAACCCTCTGGCTCCAGGCACAGCTTAATAATTTGTACAGGCATCAGATCAAATTGTTAGGGATTTAATGTGTGCCCTGAAAATTTCAAAGCGTGCCACAAATGCCCGTAGCAAACGGAGCTGTGTTGTGCTCCCTCCCTAGAGAAAAAAACAATGCAAACTCCCATGGGGTCAACTCAAGGGCTCCCCAAGCCCTGCTGCAAAGCCAAGGGATTGTCTGCTATCATGGACAACCCAAAGCTAACCCCTGTTGTCCGCCACTCCCCCCCCACCCTGTCACACCTCTCGCTCTCATCTGCCGCCTTCTCAGCCTCTTCCAGCTTCTGCAGGGCGGTGGCCAGGCGCTCCTGGGCCCGGTCCAGCTCCTCCTCCACCAGCTGGATGCGGCGGTTCAGAGAAGCCACCTCAGCCTCAGCCTGTGGAGCAGAAACCTCTTGGTCACCACATGGCACACAGACATGTATGTAGCACTGTCAGGAGTTATTTTAGCTGGGACACCCCTTTGCACCGTGCACCAATCACTTCTGACCCGCTCTGACACTTTGCAGCCCCATCACTCTCCACAGTGACATGGGGTTCCTCCATCCCTAACATTGTGCTTGATGCCAGCTGCTCCTTAACATGCGTGCACTGTGCCCAAACCCAATTCTCGCACCCCCTGCCCAGGAGACAGAAGAAATGCTCTCAATGGGTACTCAGGGCTGCGCCTTCCCCAGGCCAGCATTGGGGTTTTGCAGAGCAGTGAGTAAAGGAGGAGGAATGCCTTGAGCTGATCCGCTCCCGAAAAGGATACGGGAGCCACTTGTCGATTTCCTGTTTACGGAGGCAGTGTAGAAAACCGGCCCCATAGAGCCGAGCCCCCTCTTGGGGTCACGAGGAGTCCCCCTGCACTGCACAGCCGACTCACACAGCCCGGCCGCGGGGCGATGGAGCGAGCTGCCCTCGGACCAATGGCGCCCGGCCAACCTCGCACCGCAGGGGCCGGAGGAAGTGGGGCCCCCCGCGTTCCCATGCTCCCCTTGCGCCGACGGGGCGGGCAGCCAGAGCCGGCCGGGAGCGGTGGCTCTGGCCCCCCGCCAGCCCCGGGTCGCCTGGCCCCGTTCTCTTTCCATTCTCTAAAGCTTCCCTGCACCATCACAGCCGGGAAACGCTGCCTCAGCAGCTCTTGACCCCGCGGCGGGGACAAAAAACCCAAAACTCAAAGGGATGGGCTGCGGTGGGAGCGCCCTGCTTCATCGCCGGTACGTGGGGCAGAACGAGCGGGGATGCCCGAAACAGAGGTCCCGGTCATATGTTCAGCCTCACCTCGGCGTGAGCTTTTTCCCAGGGAATGACCCCCGAAGTGGGTCAGCGCTGCCCGAATGGGCGCTCGGGAACATGAGCTGCTGAGAGGGGAACCCGATCTGCGGCTGCAGGAAGGGGCCGCTTCCTCTGCCCGCGACAACGGCGCGGGTACCGCACCCAGCTCTGCCGGCCCCGATAGCGGGAGGATGCGGGAGCCGGGGCAGGGCAGCGGAAAAAAGAGACAAAAAACCTCCCCATAACAACAGCACGAAGCCAAACCGGGAACGACCCGCAGCCTGTAAAAGCCACAGAGCGGAAACATTGGCCTGTGCCAGCGCGCAAGGATGGTTTATCCCTACGACGGGGTGCAGAGGGCTCTGCGGCCGCTCCCGAACCAGGCAGCAGCCGCTCGGGCGTGGGGAGCTGGGCCGCGATGTGGGGCCGTTCCCGAGCTGAGCAACCCCGCGAGGCCCCGGCAGCGGGGAGCTGCCCGCAGCCCCCGCCCCGCACCGGCACCCGCGGGGGGCTCACCAACGCCCACAGGGACGCGCGGCCCAGCAGCTCGCCCGTGCCCCTCGCTCCCCGGTGCGCGGCCCAGAGGGACGGCGCCGCCCCAGTCTGCGGGTCGCGAGGTGCCCTCAGGAGCCTTACCCGCTCCCGGGCCTGCCGCTCGGCATCGGCCTCCCGCTGCAGGTGCTCGGCGCGTTCCTCCGCCTCGTCGGCCACCTGCTGCAGGCTCTGGATCTTCTTCTTGACGGCGTCGATGGAGCTGATGCCGGCCATGGCCGTGCGGCCGGCGGGGAGCGCAGCGAGGCCGCTCCGCTGAGCCCTTTGTGGGATCCGCCTGGCTCGGGCAGGAAGCGCTCAGGCGGCGGCCGCTCCCGCCCTGCCTCCATCCCTTCCTGCTCCTCCTCCTCCTCCTCCTCCTGCCGCACACCGACCCGATCCCGCTGCGCTCCCTGCGCTGAGCGCATGTCGCCCCCGATAAGGCGCATGGCTGCGCCATGGAGGGCACACTGTGCCCCGCAGCATTAGGGACGCAGCTCCCCCAGAGCAGGGCACAGAGTGCCCCCCAGCAGGGCTGCATGCCCCAGCCGAGCCTCCGCAGGCAGAGGGGAAGGCGGTCGGAGTGCTTGTTTTCCTGGGAGGAAAAGGGGCAGCAGAGGCTGTGAGCCCCTCTGCTTAGAGTGTATCCAGGGGTGCTCCCCAGAATCTCCACACATCTGCTACAGAGACGGGAGGCACGGACTTTTGTCTCACAGGTGAAGCAATGAGAGGGATGGGGATGCTCTTGGGCATCCCCTGGGTACAGTCCTTGGCCACACAAAGGCCCCCAGGGCTGATGCTCCAGGGTACAGGCATATCCAGCTCTGCACCCCAGCCACAGCACATGCTTGGGTCCGTCAGAAGGGCAAGGTGTGGTGGCATTCAATCCTCCGTCAAGGACCTCTGTGAGCTGCCGGGCAGCCCCAGCCACACTTTATGCCTGCTTCCAGGGATGCCATTTCCCAGGATCTGGGGCTTCCCTGGAGAGGCAGCATCTGGCCATGCCCCCGCAGCACCGAGTCCCAAGCCAGATGGCAGCAGTGTGGCAGCACATGGCTTTGGGCTTGGCCCTAGTCCCAGCCTCATGCTTGGGCACAGATCAGGGCATGGGGTGCAGGGCAGAAGGGGAGTCTCAAGAGTAAAGGGAGCAGGCTGGGGGCAGGCACCCTGGTCCCATATCGGCCAGAGCAGGGTGCCTCCTGCTCTGGCCCCACCCAGGGATGCAGTCACTTCCCAGCAGCGCCCGTTCCCTCCCACCGGCTCAGGGAATCACCAAATAAGAGCAAAGTCTCAGCTTGGGAGAACGCTGGGGCGGGAACTTGGGTGAAGCCTTGTGGGACCGTGGCCTGTGATCGTGGCCTGGGAACAGCAGAATGTGCGTGTCCCTGTGCTCGCAGTTCGCTGGGACAGGCCGGTGGCCAGAGACAACACAGGGCTGGAGGGGGACGTACCCTGCTCCAACCACCACGCTGTCCTCACGGGATGTCTCTTTGGGAGACAAGGAGGGAATGGGGCTGCAGTGACCTTGCTCCGCACTGCCAGCACTCTGATAATCAGTGGCTACGAGAGCAGCCTGTCCCCAAGCCCTGTGTCTGGGGCATCCTGCACCCAGCTCACCCCATCCTGCATGAACCTGCTCAGAGCAGCACAGAACCACACACATCACAGTTGCCCTCTGGACAAGATAAACAAACTCTTCCAGGGAATACCCACTGCTTTGACAACTTGGTCAGCCTTAAGGCAGCCTGACTTTGGGCAGCCTTAAGGGTTGGGAATCGATGCCAGAACCTTTCTCAGGACAAACTTGTAAAACCCCTACAAACGCAGCCTGGCACTGGGGCCACTGGCATCCAATGAGGCTCACTGCCTGCTCTGCCCACATCCCTGACCCGGCAACCCCTGTTCCCCTGTAGGCTGGGGTCCCAGTAGGGAACATGGGCACCTCCAAGGACTTTGCTGTCGTTGTCTGTCCTCATCTGCTCTCCCTTGTCCTTGGCGGCCACCTTGGACTTTTGACGCATCTCCCCCATTTAGCTCCATAAACCCGCCAGGATTGAATTTTTGTTCTCAATCCTAAAAAGCCTGGCCATGCCCCTGCTGGCCATGCTCCAGACAGCTCCCCTTTAGCTTCTCCTCCAGTTTCCAGGGTTGGTTTTCATCAGAGAAGGACTGGCTATCAAAAGGAGCATTTATTTATAGGGTGCCAAATACCCCGTGTGGCACTGCGGGTTGTTATACCCAGTTCCTAAACAGGCTCAAGCCATGCACAGCTGTTCCACCCTTCATCTCAGCCAGGGCGCAAGCCAATTTCAACACCTTCCTAACATCTCCCCACTGGGATCCATTTCCCAGGAGTAGCATCAGTCATGGCCCTAAATAAAACTCTTCCCAGCCTTTCCCTTCTCAGGGTACAGGGTGGCACGTTGAACCCCTAAAGGGCTGTCCCCATGCTCCCTGAGCATCCTTCCCAACCAGCGCTCAGTGCGGGCAAGAGTTTTCCTATTTCTCAATTTCTTTTCCCATTTTTTTCTAACACGTTTTAGCAACTATTTCCAAGTTTTCCCTACATGTGCATGTCGGCGCAGTGGGGATGCTCATCCCTATGAGCTCTAGGGCACTGGGCCAAGTGATGCCCCGGTACCCTGGCACCTATATGGCATCCACAGCCAGAACGGGTCCGACACCCTTCCCACCAAGGCTGACCATATAAGGTTCCCCTCTTCCTTCACCCCCCGGGGTCCAGTGCCTGCTCAGGGGAGGGGTTGCCTACGTACGTCCGTGGCTTTCTTCTCCGCCTGCTCCAGCTTCTCCTGGGCCTCCTTGACAGATTCAGAGTATTTCTCCACCTCATCTTCTGTGCCCTTCAGCTTCTTCTGCAGGCCCTGCTGTTCCTCCTCCAGCTGGGGAAGGGATAGAGCACGGGTGTCATGGGTGGTCACCCTGGAACACCCACCCAGCAAGAGGCAGCCATCCTCACCCTGCGGTGACTGAAGTCCATTTTGGGGCCCCAGGACTTCAGGGCTGGGGACAGGAGAAGTCCTGACATGGAGACACAGCTTTGGGGCACTGGGAAGGTCCCTGTCCATATGGCTGTGGTGGGAGTGCATTGTCCCCCAGGACCCCGTGCAGAGGGATAGGGAAGTGGCAATAGGGGGTCCCAGCAAGACATAGTGAGTTTGGGGATACTGAGGTCAGAAACAACAGGCACTGGTCCCCATGGTTGGACAGCCCCAGATTGGAGATCCCTAAGGTTGGACACCCAGCAGGACTACTTCCCTAAGACTGGCTATCTCCAAACTGGGGATCCCAGAGGTTAGAAACCCCTGAATTGTTGATCCTCAAGATTGGACACCCAGCAGGACAAGGTCCCAAAGGTTGGACAACCCTAGGATGGGGGGGTTCCCACGTTGGACACCCATTAGGGCAAGGACTCCGGGGCCAGACATCCCTAGACTGTGGGTCCTCAAGGGTTGTACACCCCTATAATGGGGGCGGCCAAGATCGAACACCCAGAGAAGCAGGATCCTCAGGGCCAGATCCCTTTAGGGCCGGGATTCCCAGCGCTTTTTTGGGGAAGGCTATGGGACACTCACCTGCTTGCAGCGATCCTCTGCCTGCTTCTTGTCAGCCTCCGCCTGCTCGGCACGGTCGATGGCATTCTCCTTGTCCAGTTTGAGCATCTGCATCTTCTTCTTGATGGCCTCCATGGTGGCGGTGGGGCGGCGGCAGCGGTGGGGCGCGAGGCGGCGGCGGTGGGGATCGGAGCACCGGGGGCAGCGGCAGCACCGGCACTGCGCCCACCGCCCCGCCGCGCCGCCTAAGAGCCGGGGAGGGGCCGCGCCGGGAGGGAGGGGGCCGCCCCGGGACCTCCCCCGCCGCCCGCCAGCACCTTTTAGGGACAGACTTCGCCGCAGTCCGCGGCACCGAGGGAGACGGGGGGGTCGGCACCCGGCGGGCAGCCCCGGCACCTGGCACCGAAGGGGCACCGGGAGAGGGGCGTAGCGGTGGCACTGCGCTGGGGACACCAGGGTCTCTGCTGTGGGGGTGCCGTGGTGGCACGGTGCTGGGGACATCGGTGACAGCACTCTGGGGACGCCGCGAGGGGTCCGATTGAGGGGACACACTGCTGAGGGCACTCCTGGTGGCACTTCCGCGGGAACACTGGCGGCGCTGAGCTTGAGGACCCCCCTCAAGCTTTTACCCCTGTGCTGTTATTGTCACCTGGGGACACTGCTTGGTGACTCGCCGATGTCAGTGACCCACCTCTGTCCGCAAAGCTGTGCCTGAACGAGGGGACACCCTGCACTTTGTCACTGTGCCCTGGGGAAGGGGGACCCTGAGGGCTGGCGCTGCTCTTGGGGACACCCATGGCAGTCCTGGGGGTCCTGGGGTGCTGCAATGGCACTCGGACTCCTACAGGCTGTGACCACCTGGGGACACCCCATAGGCCAGCTCTGCTCCCTGGGGCAAAGGGGCACTCCATCAGCTCCAAAAGGAGCAGGGGATGCCCAGAACCATCATGATACTGCTGTGCCCCAGGGTCCCCTGTGTTGTTTGTGTCTCTGTGCCTACAGCAGGACACTGTTCTTCTGGCACTGCAGCCCCCCATATAGCCCCATAGCAAGGGTGCCCCACCAGCCTGGCACAGCTGGAGACTGGGGTCATGGCCCTAAGCCAAACATAGCACCCCACTCCTAGAGCCAGCAGTGGGCACAGGGATGCTCTGTGGAGGTGGCCACAGTGAGACCCCCCTGTGCCACGCAGGCTCCTCCTAGTACAGCCACCCCAGGACCCTCCTCCGCACCGCCCCAGTGTCCTCTGTGAAAGGCCTGGCAGCAAAACACAACGGAAAAATCCTCTGGGACTGGAGAGAGCCAAGCACTGACCCCCCCTTCTCATCCCACTGCTGTGTCACAGCGCCAGCACCAGCACTGCCCCACGTTACCACCACTCCAGTGCAATCATCCCCAGCAGGAGGGCACCTCCAATGGGACAGTGTACCAGGGTGACTTGGGGCATGCAGGCTGCCTTGCTCCTTCTTTCTTCTCAAAATAAACCTTATTCTATAGGCCAAAAAAAAAAAAAAAAAAAAAAAAAAGGCAAACCCTTCTGATCCCAACTCCTCCAAAAATACCCTATGCTTGAATACCGCTCGTAAATGCTTCTGGTGCATTCCCAGCTGCAGGGTGGGTTTGGAGCTGGGGGGGTCAGAGGGGATGGGGTGGGATGGGATGGACGAGGTGAGGGACTGTGTGAGCTCCAAGGCCATCCCTTTGCACCCACATCCAGCAATGGGGCGCACACTTGACTTTTTGGCACAGAGGTGCGGTGAAAATGGTTGGAGGTGAGAACTGGAGAAAATGGTTTTATAGGAGCAAGACAAGGATTGTTGGCACTGGGGAAGATGCTTCAGCCCAGAGCAGCCCAGTGAACTCAGAGGTGATGAGTACAACGTGAGCAGCTGGGGAAGCTTCCTATGAGCCCCCCTAGGGATGCAGGTCCCTCTCACTGCACTCTCCATTTTCCCCGTGGCCACATCCTACAGGAACATCTGGTGCCATGCAGGTGCTCCTGTCCATGGCTTTGCCCTCAAAGCTGAACTGCAGGACAAGGGGTTCTAGGGTAGGCACCTTTCTCCAGTATGTTCCTAGGGAAGGGACTTCTTTGGTTGTCATCACTGCCCAGTGTACCCCAATGAGCCAGGCTGCAGGTCGTCTGCCCACCCCAAATTCGGGGCCATGGTGGGACTGCTGGCACCTTATGATTGACATATCCCGAGCACCACTTGTGCCTGCTGGAACCTGCATGCAAAAATAGCCCCTCCAATCCCAGCTGAAAGATTTATGGACTCAGGGCTCCAGCCATGCTAAATGCTGCCTTATGTCCCTCCAAAATGTATTTACAACTGGCACCTGTGTCCCAACCTTTGCCTGAGAGGTGTGGCTGAGGGTCCCCACTGCTGCAGCCCACTACCCTGGGTGGTGGAGCTGGGCTGTGCTTGTGTCTGGTACCTGGTGCTGGGTCAGGCAGTGCAGATTGTCAGGGGACAGCTGGCAGGGCTGAGATTCCTGCGGGAGGCACAAATCTGCCCTGGAGCTGGGCCATGGCACAGCGTCACGGGGGGCATAGTGGCCCCTCTGCACTTCGACACCCGAAGATGCTGCAGGACACCACAGTGCTGCAGGGAACGGAGACACCCCCCCCCCCCCCCCCAAAGTCCCATGGCCAGCCCAATGGACACAGCTGAGAACTGCAGAGTTGTGACATGCCATGCAGTGCAGTTCAGCCTCCAGGCTGCTCGCTGGTGCTGGCCCTGCAGCATGGGTACTTGGGGTGCAGGGACAGAGGTATCCCCACTGCATCCCACCATATCCCTCGTGTCCCCAAGCTCTGCTGAGTGACGGGACGGGGTGGCAGCAGGTGGGGAAGGGGCCATGCTGGGGCAGCCGGGGTGACTATTTCAGGGCCTGAGCTTAGCCCAGGCAGCCAGAGGGGCTCCAGCCGCATTCCCGGCTGCTGCCCCATTGGGGGGTCGATATATAGGGGGTGCCCCACCTGCACCCCCTCCTACCACTCTGCCTAGGGATATTTTCGGCTGCCTGCAGGAATGGGGCCAGGAGTGCAGAGCCTCAGGGGCAGGTGCTACACTGGAGCTCAGCCGGCCCCCAAATCCCCCTGCAACAAAATCCCCCCCCCCGCCCTGGGCAGCACCTGTGAGGCTGCCAATGGGGGTCTGGGTTGCCGGGTGCTGCTTTGGACATGCCTCAAATAGTTTCCATGCTGTATAAGCACTCGTGCTGCTTTCCCCCTGCAAGGAGGGCTGGCAGCCCCGTGCTGCCCACAGCGGGGTCTGCAGCACTCCTCCCTCCATAAAGCCCTGCTCCTTGGGGGCACCTAAAGTTGGAGGTCCCTGCACTCCCCCACGGACACGTGCTCCAAGCAAGCAGAAAAAACACTTTTATTGATGAAAGCGTCTTTCCGAAGAGCCATCCGCATCCACCCACCCCGGAGCGTCGGGGGAGGTGGTTTCCTTCCATGTGTAATATGGGATGCTCAAAGTATCAAAATAGTGAGAAAAGCCTCAGCGAGTGCAAAGGGGAGGGAGGGAGGGAGGGAGGTCCCAGAGCCAGGAGGGGTGGGGAGCTGTGGGCTCCGGGCCCCCGGGCAGGCACTGGGCTCTGGGGGTTAGTGGGGGTGATGTGAGCGAGGGGATAAATGAACTTGGAAAGCTGCAGGCTCAATACTACAGAAATTTAAAAGTTATAAAAAATACTGAAGATCTCAGAAAACAATGCAGGCACTTGGGAAGGAGAAGGAAGGCAGAGCTGGCTGGGAGGCAACAAGATGGGAACAGCAGCTCCTGGGGAAAAGCCATGGCACCGGCCCCCAAGCAGAGGCACTGAGGAGGTGCACGGTGCCTCCTGGGAGACTGCTGCTGCGGAGTGTAGGGGCGTTCAGCCAGCAGTAAGGCATAGAGGTGAAGGGAGGCTCTGTGCGAGGCACAAGGGAAGGTGCAGAGATGATCCCCAAACAAGGGCAAGGCACAGGCCTCACCCGCTCCCACCTGGAGGAGGGAGAAGAAATAAGCAAGAGAGAGGACAAGAAGGCACGAGGAAAGTCCTGAAAGGCGTGAAGGGCCAGGCCCCAGGCAGCAGGGAGCCTCGGGCCCCAGGGGCACCTTGAGCTGCCCCAGGACAGGCTCCCAGCCCGGTGTGCTGCGTGGAGAGGCAGGCTGGGTGGCGAAGCAGCAGCGCAGGTGCTGCACGGTGTCTGGATTAGTCCTGGTGCACCGGTGCGGGCAGGGCACTGGTCTCCCCGAGGCAGCCCAGTGTTGTTGGAGGTGGGGTGTCTTAAATAGGAGCCGGCGGCAGCAGTCTGTGCAGTGAGTGGCGGGAGGGCTCTGCCTGGGCGCAGCGCAGAGGTGCGGGGCTCAGTTCTGCTCCTCGTCCCGCAGCTCCGTGGGCAGGAACTTGTACTGCTGCTGCCGGATCATGGCCAGCTTCTTACGCGCCTCCTCCAGCTCCCGCTCCTTGCGCAGCATCTCCTCCTGGGCGGCGATGATCTGCAGAGAGAGCAATGAGATGCTTTGTCCACCTGTGGCAGGGATGGGAGCACATCTCGCTCTACATCCTCCCATCGCAGCCACAATTACGGCTAAGCACCCTCCATGGTCGCAATATGCATGGTGCTCACGAGATACAGCCCACAGTGTCCTGCAGACAGGTCCCACATCCGACACACGAAGCTGGGACTTGTGCCATGCCACATAGGGCTGCGCCTGTCCCTTGAACAGCGTTCTACCCTTCACACACCCCGTGGCACTGGGATGGTGCAGATGTTACACCAAACACATCGGTACATATTTGCTGGCTGTGCCCACTGCTTAACAGTAGGAAGAGTATCAAGCTCTGCTGTGTGGGACGGGAGCAACTTCCCAGCTTGCAGTGCTGTTCAGTGACCCATGTTGGCAGATGATAAATATGGCCTTGTAGGCAGCCAGAGCCACCCTGCACTATGGAAGCAGCACCACTCCTCACCTGTGCAATTCCTCCCACCATCTTCTCCTTCACCACCACTGTCTCATCATGGTCCTGGAAGGCGGCTGCCTTCTGTGCTGCCTTCACCAGATTGTCCGATGCTCTCTTCACAGCGTTGCCAGCAGCCTGGAGTTGGGGAAAAAAGGGGAGTATTACACTCAGCCAAGGGTACAACTGCTGCCTTGGGGGGGGAACCCCTGTGCCAGATGGGCTTGGGTGCAGAAGAGGCAGCTGGGAGAAGG